CGCCCCCGCCCCGGGCGCGCGCGGGGCCCAGAGCGGCCGCGCGGCGCTTCCGGCGGCGCAGGAAGGGGCGGTGCGCGCGGCTCCGGTGAGCGGGGCGGGGGCGGCCCCGGGACCGGCGGGACCGCGGGGGGCTTCGGGGGGCTCCGGGGACGGAGCGGGCGGGGCCCGGCCTCCGGGAGCGCTCCCCGGGAGCGCGCGGGCCGCGATGTGGGGGCGGCGGTGCCGGGACCGTGCCATCCCGGCGGCTGAGGGGGGCCGGGGCACAAGGCTCCCCCCGCGGGGTCTGTGGTACCGTTAGCGGTACCCGGAGCCGCGACAGGGAACCTCTTTATTGTCACCCATTCCACTGGCCCTGTGCTGGTGCGGGTGGTCAGGGAACTGCAGCTGGGTTTGTAAATTGGAGAATGAATTAGAACCGGGGCTGGTGCTCTGGTGCGCTTAATTCCTGTAAGGTCTCACGGTGCGTCTCTTTCCTAGGAAAAATGATTTCTGAAAGCAGCTCCTTCGTGAAGGGCATGGTGCTTGGAGGAGCCTTCTGCATGTTGGTTACACTGCTGGGGCACATCAAGGTGGGGCACGGGACCAAAGCACGGGACCACGAGCACCATCACATCCAGGCTCCCGACAAAGAGGATGTCTTAAACCTTTCTGAGGGTGAACGTATGGAGCTTAGTAAAAGTATCCGTGTTTACTGTATCATCCTTGTCAAACCAAAAGATCTGGGGCACTGGGCTGCAGCAAAGGAGACCTGGAGCAAGCACTGCGACAAGGCAGAGTTCTACAGCTCTGAAAATATCAAAGTGTTCGATTCTGTGGCCCTCAACACAAAAGACATGTGGGTGATGATGAGAAAAGCTTACAAGATAACATATGAACGCTACAAGGATGAATTCAGCTGGTTCTTTCTTGCGTATCCAACAACATTTGCTATTATTGAAAATCTCAAGTACTTCTTACTGAGAAAAGACCCCTCTCAGCCTTTTTACATCGGCCACGCTGTGAAATCTGGTGACCTCGAGTATGTGGATGGTGAGGGAGGGATCGTCTTAAGCATCGAGTCACTGAGACGACTCTCCAGTGTTCTTGAAGACCCCAACAAGTGTCCGGAGCAGGGAGGTATGATTTGGAAACTCGCCGAGGACAAGCAGCTGGCGATCTGCCTGAAGTACACGGGGGTGTTCGCCGAGAACGCGGAGGATTCGGAAGGAAAGGACGTCTTCAACACCAAATCCGTGGGCACCCTCATCAAGGAGGCCATGGCCACCCACCCGCAGCAGGTGGCGGACGGCTGCTGCTCCGACATGGCCATCACCTTCAGCGGGCTGAGCCCCAACCACATGCACGTGATGATGTACGGGGTGTACAGGCTGAGGCCCTACGGACACACCTACAGCGATGCCCTCGTGTTCTTGCCCCCGGAGGGCTCGGACAATGACTGAGGTGCCACCAGGGGAGGAGTGGAGTCGGCTCATCTCGCGACACTCGTTGGTACTGACACGTGCTGGTACTGCTGTACAGGTTGTTTTTGCACACTGAGGGTTGGTGAAGCTCTTAATTTTAAAAGTGGAAGGAGAAATTTTTTTTCTAAATCTTTTTATACGGAAAGCTTCTGGCTTTTGACAGAGCTGGAGTGAAATGATAAAAAGAAGTTGTTAATGTTTATAATGAAAGGGAATTAAGTTTATAGGGGGGGTTTGTACATGTAAATATTTATTAATGAAAATTCAAATGAAGTTTAGTCTACTCTTACAAATATATTTTTGCAAGACTTTGATTCTCTCAGTTCTTCCAGGCATTTCTAGAATGTCTTTTTATCTTTCTAAAATATACCAATAAAACTGACTACAGATTCAGTCTCAAAGACTAACTTTAAGATGTTTCTTTTACTCTCAACTACACAATAGCTTGAGCTACATTGTTTTATGCAGCAGCTGCTGCTTTATGTACAGCCTCCTAACCCAGTAAGGAATTATCAGGAAGCAAGGTGGCAAGAAATCCTTTAGGAAGTTGCAGCATAATCATATCAAGTGCCCTTTGGACTGCTGTTTCTAAGCAGACAAAAGAAAGAGATAACTGTATTTGAGTGAGTATTAATGTGGTCAGGGAGCCTGTTTGCACAAGAGTAACTGCTCATTTAAAACTTCACTCCACCTATAAGTGTATTAGAATAAAGGTTTGGTGTTATTTCCACTCATGTTAGTGGTGCTAAGTGTTTACAAGGAAGTAGATGGCTAATTGTCAGTAAAAATGTAGTGTAGATACATTTACAGAGGCTTTTAACGTGAAGATGCAGAAAGAGCAGCACGTGCTTGCACTCCCACCCTTGGAATTTTATGCGACACAGGTAACACAACAAAACAACCTGCAGAACTCCCCCATACTGGGGTTGAGGGGGGGGTGGTGATGGGGTTTGGGTTTGTTGTTACAGTTTTGGGGTTTTGTTTTGGGTTGGAGTTTTTTGGGGGGGGTGGGAGGATGGGTGGTGGTTGTTTGGATTTGGCTTTTTGGTGTTTGGGTGGTTTTTTTTTTTACAACTGAGGCTCAAGTTACTGGGTCACACTCCCTTCCCCTCACAGCACGTGCAAATAAACAGCACTTCAGTATTTACTCCATTTAGAATTCACTGACCTGACGTGGGTGTTTCAAGACTTAAGGAAGGTACTACATCCATCTGCTACATCTAGGACTATCACAGGCTTTGTTGGTACTACAATATTCATAAAACACCGGAGAAGATGGTGTTATCTCACCTTTAACAGACCGTTTGTGACACCCTAGCCTGAGCTGCAAGGGGGCAGGTGGGAAACAGCTGCTTCAAATTGTTGAGAATATCCACATCTTGTTTTTTTTGTTTTAAGCATCAGGTCCTTCCTTTTTGACAAGAAGGGTAAGACAACTGCTGAGACCCCCTGACAAGCTCCCACAGCTCAGCTGTTTCAGAATGTGTAAAAGGTGAGGCAAGATGCACCTTCTCGTCCTGTCAGTCAGAGCTCAGCTGAAAAAGCAAGACATATGTCCATGATTGCTGCTAAAACCTATATAAAACCTGTATTTTTGATGTTTTGCTAAACTGATAAACAATTTAAGCCTGATTTGACTTGTATCTTCTTACAGAATAATTCATAAAGGTTAGACCCACTGTTGGGAACAGAACCAGATGAAGAAAGTAAAATTTTGATTTCAGTGTTTCTGATATTAAAGACAGTTCTGACCCCCCCACAACAACAGCAGTCATAGGAGAAAGGATGGCAGTGAACAATTCAAATGAGAATCTCATTTGTCACAGATTTGAGAGGTACTGTAAAACAACAGGAGACAATGCAAAGGGAAAAAGCCACAGAACACAAGGCTAGCTTGTTTTACACAAAAAAAACACTGAAGTACAAACTGATTTCACATAGCACTAACCAGGAATTTATAGTGGGACCTTTAAGATGCATAAAAAAGTCCATCAGCATTCTGAAGTTCTGAGGTTTGATGAAACTTTTTCTGCTACGCTGCCTAAATTTTGTCTTCCTACATTGACAGTTTCAGATTTACCCTGTCATTTTCAGAAGTACAATCTCATAAACAATCTTACAGGAGAAATTTTAAAGTAGCACATACTAGGTAATATATTCTGTCTCCCACGTTTTAATTTGGCTTTAGAATCAGATGGAGAACTCCTTGCCCACTCTCTTCTGTGAAGGTCCCAGGGTGGGGAAACCAAACATGCAGAACAGCACCGAGACAAGGCATGGGCACACAAAATTACATTCTGCCTTTGCACAATGCATGTGTTAGAATAGAGACTTGAAAGATTAATAAATGCTCCCAGAGACAGTTATGAGTGGTAGACCTTAAGGTTTCCTTAGTTTATTACATGATTCCATTTTTCCATAGGCATAGCTTTGGGTATGCAGTTGCTGAACAAAGGGTTGGGTTATCCAGACAAACACACAGTGCTCCTGAACCCATTCTGTAGCTGTAGGGACGTGTGGCAGTGTGCACAAGCTGAGATCTCTTGAAGTTCCACCTGAAGAAGCTGCTCCTGGCTACACTGATAACCATGTTTTCCTATCATGCCTTTATCTAACAGTGATTTTGCTTCTGCTCCTAAAATAAGGCGGCAAACAGGGAGTAGAGAGCGTCAGGCACCAGGGTGGCACACGCTCCCTTCACTACAAGGAGAGCAAATATCAAAGTGTTGGCAGGTAGAAACCTGAAAATAGGTATAGTCTTCAGATATGAACCAGCATAAAAGAATTTCTAGTCCACGTATCAGTCTAAATTCATAAATCCTATACAGATAAAAGCATATTAAAAAGAGAAAATCCTTAAGTAAAATGAAGTTAATGCTGTTAATAAGTTAAAAAATAATGTCAAAAAAAATGATTTCTCCACATTCAAGAAACACGTAGACTAACAAGATGTTAATCAGAAGAAAAAATCTGAAATGTTTCAGAGGTTTTAAAAACTGTATTTATATTTCACATACACTTTATATTACTCTTTCAGAAGAGCATAAAAATGTAAACATTTCTTGGCTTTTTCCTCCTTTCTGTTTGAAATAGTCTACTCACAGTCCATGCAGAAATTTTTCCACCAGGTATCTTCAGTCACTGAAGACTTGGGTTTAAGACAAAACAAAATAACTGTAATAAAAAGAAATCTAGAAAACTATTGTAGCCTAACAGTACTTTTGCATTCACGTGATTTATTTAGCATAGCCACAGAACAAAATAATTTGTACATTCAGTCACATTAAAAACAAGGAATTACAAAGCAGTCCACATTTAATCTAAGTGCATTCCTTTGGAGTAACAGTTCCTTTTGTTTCATTTGTATGTCTTCATATGCCAAAGGCCATCATTTAAATAGTGGATATTTTCAATACCAATCCCTTTGTTGACCTTCTCACTGTGGAAGGAGGAAAAAGGTACAAAAGCATTAGATAGGTGAAATATTAGAGCAGTATAAAATATAATATTTAAAGTAGAAAGTGCAGCATTTGTCAGCTGGAAGGGGAAAAGCTAATAATCACAAAGTCATTATCTTTAAATGCGGGTGGACGAGAAACAATATTTGTTATTACATTTGCCCACATTGCTGATTGATAAGAGGACAATATTTGCCTTCCACATTTTGTCAACAGCCTTCCACAGTGTTTTTGCTATTTCTTTGTGGGAGACAGTTCTTCAGACTTCTGCCAGTTTCTTTAATTTTAGCATTTCTCTACCAAAGTAGCACAGCAGTTGTGAGTCTCCCCCTCCCAGCACAAGAGGTGGTACAACATGACTGGAATGTGAAATTTGACAAGTTCTGGTTCCAAGTGTGCCACCAACACAATCAAACACAGGTGAGTTGCCTTGCTGCTGGTTGCAGGTCACCTACCCACTTAAGAAAGAATTAAAAATGCTAAATTTATGTGCCAAGGACTTGCAGCATGTTACAAACATACCATCCTCTGTAGCAATGACTCTGTATCTTTTAAGTCATGTCATCTTTTAAAAATTTTTAGTCTGTGTGTCTGCATTGAATTTGTGTTTATCATTTTTCCAGTACATTATTCCACCAAAAAAAAAAAATCTAGTTTTGTCACAATAAACAAGACAAATCTCATCATTCTAGGAGTGAGAACAAGTTTCATTCCCCTGGAGAATATAATTTACTGTATTTACACCAAGTGTTCTATTACTTACACAGCTTGTCCAAAAGTAATCAGGAAGGAAAATGCTGCTAGCCCAGAATTAACACATTCAGTATCATAATCACACCAAGAGACTGAAATCACACCGTTCCACAATTTTCTGGTTTAACCAATGTCACACAAAAAAGCAGCCAACAGGCTGCAGAGATCAGTATCACTTTGTTTTCCCCTCCAGTTCATCATAATTCTCACAGGAACAGGATATTCAGCTGCAGGGCTGCTGAATTTGAAGTTAGGATTGGGAACACAGATAACCTTGGCTTGCAATGATCACAGCATATCACTGCACACTGAGGCCTGGGACACTTTAGTAGCTTTTCTTTCCACTTACTCTTGGAGTATTTTGAAGCACTACAAAGAATCCTGAGAGATATAATTTCTCAACAGCTACAGCAGGTCCAAGTCCAGGTTGCTCCAGTCCCACTCTATCCCTGTCCTCTGGAACACATTCCCTCTCCTCTCCCTTGTGCTGCCACCATTATGACTTGGGACCGCAGAGTCACCCAGCGCAGGAGATGATCCTGCTGAGCATTATCCCCACAGAAAAGAGTGACTTGTTTTCATCAAAATCAGCTTCCTCACTGCCACAAATGTCACACAGGGCTGGAACCAACCAGCCCAAACCCGCTGGGTGCCCCTCACATCCTGCTGCAAGACCTTACAGAACTTCAAATGACAAGGTGATGTAGCTACTTACAACATTGCACTGTGTGAAAGCCAAGAACAACTAGCACCCATTTCCATATTCTATCCCTTTTCCTTCTCCAATAATTTTCAGTTTATCCTCTGAACAGAGCTCTACATTTCACAAAAAGCTCAGATAAGCTAGTCAGCACATCAAGCAGGAATGTGTGTGGGTACAGGACAGGCCACAGAGGAAAGCCCAGACAGGCAGCCAAACACCAGCATGACTTCAGTCTCTCTGTCCCTGCACACAAAAATCACTTCAACATTTTCAATCCTCTCAAATCCAAATTGCATCTCTTGCCCAGCCCAGGTACTTGATACAAATATTTCTTTGTTCAACAAGGTCTTTGACAAAGTATGATTAGAGCTCTAGAAATACTAACATTCAGCAGTAATACTAATGCTGTGCACCTTAAAATCCATGAAATTTGATTCCAAATAAGTACAGAAGATATTCCCTGCCTCCCTTCCTGGAATACCAACCAACAAAACAAAATCTTAAAAAACTCTGTACTTGAACAGCACGTGCTGCAACAGTGATGCAGTAACCTTGACAGTGGTGCCTATATTCCAAACTAACATTAAGAATAATGACATGGGACAGGTTATATTTCAATTTTTAAAACACTTACATGTCCTCAGCTGACATCTTCATTACTCCCACACATAATGCATGTTGTTTTCCCTCTGCCATTATTGCCTACAAATTACTGCTAAGGAAAACAGATTTCTTTTTAAACTATTTCAGAAAAGGAAAAGCAATATGAAGAAATTACTTCCAAAACACTTTCAAAAGCCCACGTTGAACTTTTACCCTTTTAGTAATTCTAAAGCTGCAGCTCTTAAAGATAAACAAAACAATGCACTGCATTTAACAACTGAATCACAGTGTGCAGAACAAAGCATGTATTTATGAACTTGGAACAGCAATTACAGAAAAAAAAATCTCCCAGCACTACACTCCACGTCTTCCTTTGTGCCTATCACAGAGATGACAGTCTCTCCTTTCTGGAACAAAATGGCACATCTTTGTGGGGCCATTTCAGATTCCAAGGCACAGAAAAATTGGGACACAAATTTAAAAAAACAGAAGTACTGAAATCAGATTGTCTTTTTCAAAGTCTAGCAACAGCTGATCTTTTCCTACAGCATCTATCTGAAACACAAGCAGCACAGCTTGGTGTTATTAATGCTGTATTTGCTCAGGGTTTCCTTTCTCAGTAATATAATGAGGAGTGAATTAGCACTTTCCTCATTTTACACTTGCTGACTTCATCAGACACATAGAGCAAGTCCTGACTACAGTAAAGCCAATCCTTAACATCTTTCCAAATTCCATTGGAACAGGAAAGAATTCTTCTTTAACTGAAGGGAATAAAAGATTGACTATGGAGGCAGGGGACAAATTACACCGCACCTCATCTACTTTTACAGTTCTGCATAAAACCACCAAGGAGCTCCACTTACCAAGGAGATTAATGGAACAGCAGCCCACCCAACAGTACAGCAGGAACATCACAGTAAGTAAAAAAATAAGAACAATGTAACCTTGCCAAATAACATCTAAACCTCTGCAGCTCTTTTCTGATTACTAGTTATTTCATGAAATCCGATTAAAATCCAAAGTAATCCAGATTATGATCAGCTGAGAATACAAGAACGGAATTTAACTCGTCTCACAGCAGGCAATAATTCATAGTTCAAGAAGGATACAACAACAGTATCGACAGCAGCAGGGTAAAGCTTTGCTCCAGGAGACGTCAGGCCAGGGCACATTATATTGGCTCCACTGAGGACAAATTTAATGGCTCCTTTATCAACCTGCTGATGTGGCAGAATAAATGGGTCTAGGAGGGGAAAGATACAGCACTACAATTAATACAGGAAGATGACAACATGAATAACTCATTACCAAGTCAGTTTAGAGGGGGCATTTAGATACACAGTGTGCTGTGAGGGCAGGAAGTTTGACAATCACCAGGGCTCCTGCTGGGCTGTACTGATCCAAAAGGACACAAGTGCTGTCCCAAAAGGACACATCTTTTACCTGAGAATCAAAGGTCATCCAGCACTAGAGGCCTATGCTTCCTGCACATTCACAGACCCACGTACTGAGTAACAATTTTAACAAGTTCCCACAGGGAAATAAATCTCTCAAGTGCCCAGATACTCGGAGGTCTTAAAAAAGAAGAGGTCTAAAATCCCTCAAATGTATTCTTACAAATTAACCTAATATGAAAGAGAAACAGTTTCATGTTAAGAGGACAAAAAAGGCAAAGATGGACAAAATTCATGAAAGCTGCCAGCTCTCCAAGCCATCCTTCAAGTGCAGGCACCCTCTTGAAGTATTTTCAGCACTGAGATTTGACTGAATAACATTTTTTGGGATTCAAATCAGGGTAACACAATCAAGCAGAAGAGCAAGAAAAATAATGCAACAGTAAATTGTAAAAAGTAAAAAGCATGCAGCCTAAGTTCCTACGGAGGCAAGTACACATTACATCATTAAACCCATTATAGATCACAGAATATTTTTTTCATCCTTCTCTTCCCAGCACTTCTACCCTCAGAAAACTTACATTTGTGAAGCAACCTTAGCGTGGGGTAAAAAATCCCTTCTCTTTGCCTGAAGAACAGCAACTCCCCATTCACAGTGAGGATTTCTATATGTTCATGACTGCAAGATTAAAAAATAATTATTCCGATAGCTACTTTAATTCTTCTACAGTTTAAATGAAATATTTCACATCACAGAGTCTGGTCTATCTTGGCACCTGAGAATTAAGACAATCAATTAGCAAGAAAATATAAAACTAAACATATTATCTTTTTGCATGGCTTATTCTTCAACAATGGTCTCCTGCTCACTTCCTTCCCCTTTAAAAAAAAATCTATAAACAAAATGCACAAATTGCATTTCTTTGGGGTTTTTGAATGTAGTGCAAAGGGTGGATATGGAGAAAGAGTCAGCAAAAATGTACTACCCTCTATCTAGAAAAAAATAAAATAATCAAGATAATATATGGAAGCCCAAAAATTATAAAAAATGTTACTGGGAGGTATCCAAACAAGTCTGAACTTCCATACCCATAAAGCTGAATGTTTCCCTTCAACAACAGGCTAATCCTTGGGCAGTCCCTGAACACACTGCATGTTGACTACTAAGCAGCAGTTTTATGTTCTTCAAGCATCCTACAACAGCAAGTGCCTTCAAGAGCATGATGAGAACATGTAAACTTTCTGGTTTGGCCATAACTTGGACTATTAGCTACTAAGATATGACAGATGCCTTTCAAAAACAGCAGGTTCATTTACTCTACAAAGTCAACACATAAAGGAAGCACCTTAAAAGCAAAGCTCAAGAGAGAAGAAACTTACCATCTTACTATTTTGACTGGGTCTTTCTTTGGCATGATTTGGTTTAGCCATGGTTCAATAACAGGAAACTGGTCTATCAGTTGATTCTTGATACCTTTAATAACTGAAGTCTTCAGCTGGATACAGTTCGATACATTCTCCTTTTCATCAAATCTGTAAAGTGAGTGAAAGTTTTTCAGAAATGCACAATTTACTGCCTGAACGATGCCATGTCTGCAGCATTCTTCAGAAATGTTTATATACTCACTATAGAACAGCACATCAACTGTCCAACTTTCAAATCCAAGACTTCATGAGACTTAAATTTGTCTCCTGGGAACACTGGGCAGAGGGATGGTAGGGGAGCCCCATTAGTAGGCTGTCTTTATCCCTAAACTTTGTGAATCTCCACAAAGCATGCGTTTAGCCTCACAGACACACCCTGGCACACAGCGTTATTTCACTCAACTCCAAGAGCACTTTGCTGGCAACACAAACGCCCTGTTGGGGATGTGAGCCCCTCACCTCCACCGCACAAGTACGAACGGCGCTTTGTGCCACCCCGAAGTTGAGACAAGTTAATGACTCAGCTCCCTCCGGAGGGCTTCCCATTTAACAACCGAGTGCCCGAGGCAGAGCCGGGGCCGCGCTGCCCGAGGAGGCCGCGGGGCCGCTCCCGAGCAGGGCCGAGCCCGGGGCTGAGGGGGCGCCGGGCCCGCCCGGACCCTTCCCCTTCCCCTTCCCCCGCCCCTCCCGGCCCCGGCCACACTCACTTCTTGAACATCCTGCGGGCGGAGGGCGCCGGGCGGGGGCCGGGGCCGGGCTCCCACAGCCTCGGCGCTGCTCACACGCGGCTCCGGCCGGGCCGTCCCTCGCTCCGCGCCCGCCGGAAGCGCCGCTCCATCCCCGCGGAACGGGCGGGGCTCCGGCAGCGCCTCCCCGAGCACCCCCGGCACCGGCGCGGCCCTGCCCCTGCCCGCGGGAACCAGGGGCTGGCTACCTGCGGGCTCGCCGCCGCCTCGACTAAATAAATCCTTTAACAGAGTATCGGAGTGCTCGTAGCTACTCACGGCATTTAAACAGAAAATGTGTTGAACACGAAAAAACGCTGCCACCTGCAAACTAGCAGAGGTAGAAGCTGTCCGCTCGCCAGCTTCAGAACAGGACACACGATCTTGTCACCAGCATTCTGGAAATAAAAGGGAAAAAAAAAAAAAAAGGAAAAAAAAAAAGCATTTCTTGTCAAGGAGCAGATACCGGAGCCGGCCAGGGAGTCAGTCACAAGTGACAGTGCCACATCCTGCAGTAGGGACTGGGAGCAGAAGCCTGGTTTGCAGAGATTTCAGCTGCCAGGCAGAGAGATGGGCTGTGGTGGGGGCAATTATGGTCCATAGCGTTTATTAGAATCACATTAGATTTTGCTTGGTGATGGCTCAAGCAATGGTGAATAGAAAACCATAGACAGAGGGAATTTACCACACTGCTTCTTCACTCTCTGAGGAGCAGACATGCACGTGTTTGTTTTCTAGGCAGGTGGCTGCTATATAAGCAGACATACAGGTGGCCATCCTTTCTTTTTAGAGTTATGGCTTTTTAGAGTCCCTTCACTGATGTAAAGGGAAGGGAGGAGACGACATAAAACACCAGGTTATCATTATGCCAACAACCAAGTTCTTTTTTCCACAGAAAATTATGAAATCACCTTTGATACTATAACAACTAATTAAATCCTAAGAGTTACAGCAGTCATACAAAGTAAAAACAAGTTTTATATGTGGTATCATCTATTCAACTAGTGAAGTACAGCGTCAGGAACACACTAATAACTTTTTAAGAGGATAGGAATGAACTATGGCATTACATAAATAGTCAGGCATTTCACTTATAAACGCCACCTCCACCTACTTTGTAACATCACTAAAAATACTGAGTTATAATCAAGAATTCAATTATAACTGAAACACAGTGACACTGCTCGTGCCCAGATTAGAAAGTGAGAACAGCTTATCACACTGACAAACTATGTCATGCATTTTTGGTGCTCCTTAGAAAAATTTTCATTAAATAATACTTTGCCATGTAAACAATCACATTTTTAAAAACTGTAGTGAAAAATTCATTCAAAATTCCACCTCAGATGTTAAAACAAAAAGATAAAATTCTACCCTTCCTGAGGACTGTAACCACCTGAGCACTTGTTTTCATGCCTGCCTAAACAAGCAAGATTAGTCCCTAATTTTCAAAAATGGCATTTGTCAACAGGAAGGCCTTACCTCCATTCTTTTACTCTCTTAAAGCACTTGGACCACTGGTTCCCTTCAGGGCTGAGCTAACATCGAGTCTGGTCTCAACTTTTCCATCTTCTCTTCCAAATATTTTTTGCTGGTGTAGCTGCAGACTTCAGGGCCAGGTAACGGCTCACCCAATCTAAAAGTGCTTGTACAGAGGATTTTTGAAGAAGGCTCCAAGGACCTGGATTGGACTTCTGTAATACAGCTCTCAGTGTTACTGTTCAGCCTCACCACCAAGAAGCTGGAGACATTTGCTCTGGTTGCAGTGTCACTTTTAAGTACAAGAATTTTAAAAGCACTTTACCTGGACAGGACTGACAAAGCAAGGGGCATATCCAGCAAATGGCACTACAACTCTTCCAGCCCTGAGAAAAAACAGCCCTCAGGGCCACATGCTAAATAGAAAGGATTTAGAATCTCTTCCCCCATAAGTTTGGGGGGAGAAACCGTCACACTTGGTTTCTTTGTGGATCCCCAGCACTTTACATTACCATCACCTGCTCTTCCATATCCCAGAGCTGCATATTCTGACTGATGGGACACAGTCACTGACTCCTGGACAGGATAACCCTTTTGCACCTCCAGGAGAAGGGGCACTTAATCATGCCTCCTCTTTTTTAAATCTAATCCTTTCAACAAACCAAGAATCTGTAGGAATTTTGTATCTCTTACAGCTCTACACTCCTTACCTAATTTGGCTTAAGTGAACATGACAGTTACTGCGAACAGAGGAAAATTTTTCAGCACAGTCACATAAGTTTTATTTACTTAGCAAACCTGTTTATTTCTGTTACATCTGACTTGGAATGTAAGGTATTAGCCTTGGGAACCCACAAACTATTCTAAAGCCAGTCAAAAACAGACTTAAGCTTTGTTTTGCTGATGTATTTTTTTTAATCTGGAAAAAGTACTTTTCTACACATCACTGGCATTACATTCCAGGCCTCAGGAGTTGTCTGACAGTGACTCAGTGACAAAACACGCTCCAGAAGAACCTCAGTAACATCACATTCCTATCTCTGTGCGCCACAGTTTCTGTCAAGACAAGTTAGCGTATCTTTTCCTATCAAACGCAGAAGTGCCACCAGCCTTCCCCCGAGGAGCTCTGCTGTCAGGCAGGCAGGTGTGCGCTCTCTGCTGAAATCCTTGGAGAACCTCCTGGAACAAAAACCTCATCGCCTGGTTTGTTACTCTTTCCACAGCCGTTTCTCAACAGCGTTTGAATCATAACAACGTTCCCGGGGAGTTCACAGCCCTCTTTGGTAACAGATCCACCAGCATCAAAAAAAAAGAGACCCTGAAGGGCCACGACTTCTGTATTTGCTTCCAAAAGTTTTAAAAAAAAAATACTAGGCTGTAACCCGATGCAAGTCCGTATGTATTAAAGTCATATGAAAAAGCTGATGCTAAATGATTGTTTATCAATACGTGTAAGAAAAACCATTTCCATAACAGGCCGAGGCCTTGGCCGCAGGCTCCGGGGCCGGGCCCCAGCGAACCCCGCCGTGCACCGCAGCGACCGCAGCCGGAACCCGCGGGGGGACGGGCCGGGTGAGGGCCCGGGAGCCGCCCCGGCTGAGGGCAGGGCGGGACCCCGGCACGAGACCCCCCGACACCGCAGTCCCACCACCCAGAACGAGCCCGCCAGCGCGGGGATAACGCGCCAGGATCAGTTCCCGCGGGTCCCGGGGCGGTGCCGGGGCGGTCCCTGAGGCGGTTCCCCGGTGCCGGGGCGGGTCCCGCCGCCTCCCCGGCCGCGCTTCCGTGCGCCGCGCCCCGTCATGCACGGCGGGCGGATGCGCCGCCATCTTTGCGCTCCCTCCGCCGTGCGGTGACAATAACAACCGGCCGGGCCGTCCCCCCTCAGCAGCGCGGGCACAGCCGGAGAGGGGGGAGCGGGGCCCGAGCGCAGCGGCCGCGGGGCAGAGCGGGAGGCGTGCGGGGCCCAGGGGCTGGAGCCGAGGCGAGAGGGAGCCGCGCTCAGCCCGCCCCGCTGCTGCTCGGCGGAGACGAGGCGGCCGGAGCAGGAGGGGAGCGCAAGGAGAAGCCGGGGGAGCGGGCGGCCGTGGGGCATTCCGCTGCCGGAGAGCAGAGCTCAGAGGAGCTGGTGGGGGGTGAGAGGCAGGAACGGAGGCGCTCCACTGAGGAGGGAGTGGAAGCAGGAAGGCAGAGGCAAACTACCAGAAGAAACAAAGTATTAAAGAAAAGGGGAAGAGGAGATAAAGTGATTGCTCCGACAAAGAAGAACGAGAAGGAGAGGGAGTACGGAAGGACTCCACTGATGAGAGAGAGGAGTTGAAAGACCCCCCACGAGAGACAGCGAACAGAGACTGACTCTAAAACTCTCCCTCTCTTTGTCACACCACAAGGATTTGATGCCCCTCAGCCTGTTCACTTCTGTGTGTTCATGTTTCCCACAGGTTTCTCTTCCCCCAACCCCCCAGCTGCAGCCCAGGAGGTCAGACCTGCCACTGATGGTAACACCAGCAGCAGCTCCTCCTGCAAGAAGAGAAAGTTAAATAACAGCAGCAACAGCAATTCCGAAAAAGAAGAATTTGATTCCATTTCCTCCTGCACCTCTTCTCCTTCCAAAAACACCTCCTCGTCATCCTCCTCCGTCATCACCACCTCCTCGTGCTCCTCCTCAGGGGTTGCTTCCTCCAACCATCACCTCCAGAAGAAGCTGCGCTTTGAGGACTCCGTGGATTTTATTGGACTCGATGTGAAGATGGCTGAAGAGTCTTCTTCCTCCTCCTCTCCTGCTGCCTCTTCCCAGCAGCAGCACCAACAGCAGCTCAAAAATAAAAGCCTTTTAATTTCATCAGTGGCTGTGGGGCACCATGCAAATGGCCTGACCAAAGCTGCCTCCTCTACTGTTTCCAGTTTCGCCAACAGTAAACCTGGCTCTGCTAAGAAATTAGTGATCAAGAACTTTAAAGGTAACAGGCCATAATTTGTCACAACTTAGGGGGAGCTGACACTCGACTTCACGTTTTGTTTTCAGCCTGAAAACCGGTTCCTTTCAAATAGCTCCAGGTTTTACGGGAAAGGCTTTTCTGTGGCGAACATTTCTATACTTATGTAAAGGAGAATAATGTTTTCTGATGCGTGCTTGCCCAGTCATGTACACATCCTGAGCTACACTTTGCTGCTTGAAATTATTTTTCAGGCTCCTTTCACTCTTGCCTGTTGAGAAGGCCTTAACTTGTATGTTAGATGAAAGGTTTTACTACCTAAGTGTGTAAATTGCCTTTGTTCAAACTTCTAATGTTTGATACCTCTTTGCTAGTAATCCTGATTCAGGGCTTAGTGTTTATTTTAACCTAGTTTATGATAAGTCTTTGCACAGATCGTGGTTTTTTTTAAATTGGCCTTGAATCTACATGTCTTGCCTCTATCCGAGTTGCCTGTTTATAGGTTAATCTGCCTGTGCTTAGTTTTAAATGTTGAAACTAAGGTGATTATCAGGCTCTTATGGCGGATTTCCTTTCTGGTTTTCCCAGTTGCCTTTAAAGTAGGTAGTTCAGATTTTTACTGAGTGTTTTACTTGTAATATCTTCACTGTAACTTATAATTGTAGTTTCTTTTCTCTGTCTTAATTTACTCTTATTTTACAAGTTTACATTATTTTATAAATTCTCTCACAAGATGTGTTTGAGATTCTTTAGTATTGTTACTAGAGACCAGCTGAAGCAGAGAAGTGAAACTTTTCTGCTATGATGCTGTTTCATTTTCTGGTAAACAAAAATACAAATAGGTGTAGGCAGAAAGCTAAAATGCTGTCATTTTTTCCCTATAAAGATGAGGAAATCATGGACTTTTCTTACTTCCTGCCTCTTGCTGCCTTCCAGAACAGTCCAATAGCTTGCTTTCTTGAGTTGTTTCCTTTTCCTCATGTGTTTGGGGTTGGGGAGGGGTAAAAGAGATTACTGACATTATAACTGATTTCTAAATACACAATTGGCACAAATGTTCAGTAGAGGTACTGCATTAGGTAAGGATTAGGGTTATTTTACCCACTGTAATGTTTTACAGCAATTCACGATCCCAGTGAAACTTTAAGGTTCCAATTCTCAGAAATGTTCTCCGCCCATCACAGCAGCATCATTTAATTTGATTGTTTTAAAACATGAACTTATGATGCAGCATAGTGAGAAAGAAAGCCACTCTTTGGTTATTTGTACACCCATATCTTTACGAGAAGTTAACTCTTCACATGTAAATTACCTGTTAAATGTCACGGGTTGCATGGTGCTGTGATCATCATTGCTTATGGATTGGTATTTGAATCACTTGCTTAGAAAGGACATCTCAGTAATCTGACAGATTTGCTTTTTAGTTACTCTCAGATACTAAACTGAATAATAATCTTATTGTCTTTATCTTAGAGTGATAGCAATAGCATCCTTTACAACTTAAATAACTTCCTAAAATCCATACCCCTGGTGTTTCCTGCTGAGCAGCATACTCAGGAGTTGCTAGTGAAAACAGGCAAGTCTGTAGTCACTTGTCTCTCCAGGTCCTTAGGATGCAGCTAATGTTGGGATATTGCCAATATTGTAGGGAAACGCTTGGGAGAGAACAAAAAAAATTACTTCTCTCTGTTACTTATTTCTCAGGAAATCATAAAGCTTTAAAATTTGTTTCTTACTGTTAGGTATGTAAAAGTCAACTATAATAGAGTATAAACTCTGGGCCAGTTTCACCTGTTGATGGCATGGATGTACATGTGTCATCTTTCTCCCTAAATTTTCTTCTCCTTCCTTTCTCCATTTGGGAATGTGCATATTAGAACAAACATGGTCATTTTAGTTAATTATGAGAACACACAGAATTTTGAAATAGTTCTCATATTCTGAGGATATGACCTGGGGAATATGTGAGCCTGTTGCAAATGCTCTGATCTCGCTGAAGGTGCTGCAGGGCAGGGGCATCTCTAGAGAAGAGGCAGAAAAAATAACGGAGGGAGTCAGATCTGTGAAGCTTGAGCTGTTTGAACATTAAAGGAGGCTTAACTCTAACAAATATCCACTGGCCAAACCCAAGAGAGACATAAATGGATTACTTTAAAATTGGAATGTTTTCCTTGGGACCATAAAGCCTGTATTATAATTACAATGTTTCCATGCATGTTTCTTGAGGATTTCTTTCCAACCTCTAATACAGAGTAGAATTAATGAGCAATAAATTAAAAAATAAGATACACACAACTCTGTATCTTTTAATCTATCATTTTCACCTTTTATGTTCACTTTTTTTTTTTTGCTCTGCTGTCCTGGTAGTGAGAGTAATGAAGATATAGACAGTTCTTGCTGGTTTTATCCCTTCTTGAGCTGATCAGGAACAGTATTGTGCTTTTTGTAACCATACCAGTTTTGGGCTACAACTGCTATGATGTGTATTTGAAGAGCAATGCTCAATTTTTATAATGTGTTACTCTTTCAAATATAAATAAGATACTGCTTTTACATGAATGCTTTCTTTTCTTGTAAGTATAAATTCAAATCTGGAGCATCAACCCATACCTTTTACCCTCAAAGCTACGTTCTTTTCATTTCTGTAAAAGGTTCTGCTTTATCTAAATACTTTCTCAAACTTTATATTATTTCTTTTAAAGATAAACCCAAATTGCCTGAAAACTACACAGATGAAACCTGGCAGAAACTGAAAGAAGCTGTAGAAGCTATCCAGAACAGTACTTCAATTAAGTACAATCTAGAAGAGCTCTACCAGGTAAGTGTGTTAAGTGAAAGGGATGGGATGGGGCTTTTTGGGTCATTGCAGGATTTTTTTGCTTAAAACACTTTTGATAAGGTGGTAAGAATATGACATTTTGCTTAATAGCTGCTTTTGTCATTGAAAAACTTGTCACCAAATAGTTTCTCTGTTTTAAAATCATGACTAAAAATTTCACAAGACCTAATATTGAACTCAAAATTATTTTTTTTTTAATTTGCCACAACATAATCCAAGGTATGTTATCCCTTGCAACAGTTGACAATAATTAAATAAGGCAAGGATCTGTATTCCCTTTTCTGTTTTGGGCATATGGTGTTTATCTGCTAAAGGAAAAATGTGAAATCCTAAAACATTGGTGTTTAGGTAAGAAAAAGACGATTTATATTAAAATATAATTTCTGAAGACAGTATCTGTCCATGATCAAGTATCAGAGATCATTTAAAAACTGAAACTTTTTATTGACTTCTTGTATGTGAATAGAATACCATTTTTTCTCCGGGAATTGTGTTGTTTTTATTTGATTGTCATTTTTTGGCATTGCAGCAATCTGTCTGTTCTAACAGCTGAGAACCAAAGATTTATTCTCATCAACAGCTCTGATTGTTTTGTCTTAAATATTTTAGGAAGTGATCAGACTTGAAGGGCATTTCCTGATTCTTTTTTATAAGCTCCACTTCTGCTTTTTCAGCTGAACGTGTTGGGGAGGTTTCCCCCCTTCACCTTTTCCCTACACACGTCACGGTATTGCGGTTTTAGCGGCTTGGCAACCGTGCTGCTCTAGCTGGGTATTAAGAACCACTTGAACTTTTTACTCTGCTTTTAAAGCCTTTTTTTACCTGATTAGTTGTTTGATTTGTTCCTCTGTGTGTATGTAGCCTTCTCACCATCTCTTTTTAGTGTCTCTTCTTCCCCTACCCTCCCCTTCTCAGTACAAGTTGCATTTCCGTGTGGGGAAAAAGTCCGGTTTGCACAAGGTTTGGGGACGGATTTAAGGAAGAATAAATGGCCATTCCTCGTGGCACACAGTTCCTCAGTCCAATGCATTCTTAAGCTCACTACAGTAATTTATCATCATCATCATGGCTAAGCTTCGTGAACGAAGATTTGAGTCAGTAATTTATAATGCTCAATTAATTAACTAAAAATAGTGGGGGTTTAACTGAATAATTTATAGTATTGTTATTTTTGTAAATCTTTATGAAATTAATAACAAATTACAACCAACTGTACTGGCTGGTATTGTAAATTAATCTAGACTAAATAACTGTTAAATGCATGAAGGATATCCAAAATTTTTTTTAAAATACAAAGTTATATTGAAATCCTTGCTTCTGTTTCACAGTTATTACTTAAATTCCTGCTCACTCTTACCACAGGCTTAATTTAATGTTGCTTGTGGTCAGAAAACAAAAGATAAGCTTTTTTGTTTTAAATCTCAATGATTCAACATTGTAATAACTTAGATACTTCTCAGTGAAATAGAGTGCAATCAAGTATGAAATTTTTCTCTTTTTACATAAATCTAAAAATAAGTGTCTTGATTTAAAAATAGTAATAGGAATCACTAGTGTTTTTAGATGCTAACTAAACTAATACCATTTCTGAACAGCTGCTTGGTAAATGGATCTGATGCCAAATATGCCTTGGCAGGCACCATTATCCCAGCAGAGAGGGGAATTGCTAAAGAGTGCAAAAGTTCTGCTGCACACCTCAAAAGAAGATACTTCTTTTTTTAATGGAGGAAAACTTCTTGAGTTTGGTTTAACTCTTGTCTGTGTTGGAAAATCCCACTGGGCAAACATTTTGAAGCTTTATCTCTTTGTGATACCCAAGTTTTGTACTTTGTTTCTCCTCAGCAAGAGAAATTATACACATCTTTGAGATGCTGAAGTGCTACAGAATTGAAAGGTTCTTGCATAGAATAATTTTCCTTAGATTAGTACCTGAAAGTAGAAATCTAGATGTTTGGTACCAGATCCATACTTAATTTTTTTTTTAATCAATCAGAGTTAAATACTTAAGGAAAGTTCTGATTTTCTCTCATTGAAGCTGTGTTCACTTCTTTTTCCTACTTTTCCTCAGCACACAAAGCCAGGTGTTGATGCTGCAGTTAACAAACTAAAACAATAAACTCAAAACCAAACCAAAAGCCCAACTACCCCTATGCTACACAAAGGAAATATGACAGTTCTTCAGATTTTCTGACCATCTTCAGGGCACAGGTTCCCCAATCAGAAACACTTATTCCACTAATTCAGAACAGGATAATTTTTTGAACTAGAGCCCCTGAAGTTGTTGGGAATTTTTGATACATTACATTTACTGTTGTGCAATGCCAGTAATTTGCAAAGCATAATATTGCAGTAGTGATGTTATGCTTCACAAAGCAAATGTTAATAAAAGATTTGGTGTTTGTCTGCTTAGAAAGTTTAATCTCTTGAAAATAAAAAGCCAATTGAGCAAAATTCACAAAATTAAAACATTTCAATGGATGTTATCAACAAAGATGCAGAAGTTTTGCACTTGATGTTCAAACACTCAATCCTAACAGATGTCTTTAACACTTTGGAATTTCTGATACACAAATGCAAAAGCACAGATTTGTATGAACACTCCATAAAAGTAGTTGTATATTAATACATGTTAATTTATTTCACTAAATCACATGCATTTGTCCATCTACAGTGCAGAGACTAATTCTTTTAAGAATTTAGAGCAGCATGGTTAAACAGTACTTGTTTGGTAGTCAGCAGTTCTGACAGTGTTGGTAGTTGAGAAGAGGTGACCAGAAGGGAAAAGGGGGCACTGGTGTCCTGGGCTGGTGGGTCAAAGCCAGAGTAACGGTGGTTCCACAGGTGACAGGCAAGTTCCATCCAAAACATTTGCCTTCCCAGCTCTCTGTTGCCTCCTCCAAAGTAAGTGGAAGAAATTAAGAAATCCAGCAAGTTTGCACTTGCTGAAGGTCTAATCAGGCTTTTGATGCTCAGTGTTTTCTACTCCTTTGTTCTTTTGAATCGAAGTATCGGGTTATTTCCTGCTTTGCTGCCTGAACCTGGGGGTACAGTGGTGGAATAGAGCTGAGCAGAGCCCATAACCTGCTCTGAACACTGAACTATAGGTTATATTTTCTTATCACATCATGGTATTTGTTTGGTCTTAAATGTTAAGGCTGAGAGTTAAACTTGTTACTATTTCTAAATATTAATATTGTATACTTGGTTGATAATTCCAGCTTTCCTTATAATTGTAATTCAGACCTGGTTTAGTCTTAATTGGCACACTGACTCTCTTGCTGTACCTGTAAAATTCTGACAGTAAGCTCATGCAGGCTTGGGGTTTTTTTGCTGTTATCATTGTGTGGGATGGTTTCGTTGTGGGGTTTTGGTTTTTACGGAAGTTTGTTTTGTTTGTGGTTTTGGTTTGTTTGGGTTTTCTTTAATCCTGGAGCCAGTATTGGATGTAGTGCACTTGCACTCATCAATAATTGCCATTGATACCCAGGATAGATCAAGGAACTCCTTGTTTGGCTGTTTTGGTTGTTGCTGTGCTTTTATTGGTGACTGTCTGGACTGTTGGGGAGGGTTTGGGGGGACTTGAGTGTGATGGAGTAGATCTGCTTTGGGTGCTTCTGAGCTGTGGTCCCTGCACAGTTGCCTGCAGGTGCTGGGGAACAAACTTGATCTTCCAGTCCTTTGTTTGTTTGGTTTTTTCCCCTAGGAGTTGGTGGTACTGGCAACTGAAGTCTTTTCCAATAAATAAATAACAGCAAGAAGTGTTAGTTGAAAATTATATATATCTCTCCTCTAGCTTCTACAGGTGTTTTACAGAATATATTGTCTTTCACTAGTCTGCAAAGAGTTAAAGTTGTTCAGTTGCTTTCCAAATCTGGTCAATGGATATGAATTTTGGAAAAGTCTTGAAATACATTTTTGCCCTTAATGATTGTTTGCTTGATAGTCTCCAAGACACGCCCACATTAAATTTCTTCTCACTTGCTGTGAGCACAGTGATAATTCTTCTAACACTTGATGATGATCTAGAAGTTGGAATTTGTCACTGTAAACATCTGGAATGTAGTCATGCTGCTAATGTTCAAGGTTATAACTAAACTTACTCAGGCATGGGGTTGGTGGATGGAGATAAATAAAATATGTATATGTATGTACTTTTGGGGATGAGGGAAGCTTCATCAAGGAAAGGACTGAAAGAGGAAATTAAACCAGCAGTGCTTTTCCACTGCAGAGCACAGCAGTTAATAAAATTAAGACATTGAGTGTCTGCTCTGAGGTTTGAAGCCCAGCAAGCTGCTGGAACTTGTTAAACTCACATCCTTGTTCTTAGAGATGCCGGTCCTGCAGTTCCATGTGAGATACCTGTACTGGAACTGAAGTTGATAATCTGTGAGCTGTTCATGGCCTGCCTTTGTCTCCTGTTACCTTCACAGTGCCATGTCTCTCTCTGGTGTTTTGCATGTTAAAAGCTGTGAGAACCAGAAGAATTCCATGGTTGTTTGGGGGTGGTGTCCCCCTTTCCTTGTAAAATCACATACAAAAATATAAACAGATTTCTTAGTATCTGTTTCTCTTTACTTCAGGCTGTTGAAAATCTCTGCTCCTACAAGATTTCTGCAAATTTGTACAAACAACTGAGACAGATCTGTGAAGACCACATTAAAGCACAAATTCACCAATTCAGAGAATATCCTTTTTTAGCTGTTGACAAGCCAAAATGATTTTACCTGCAAGTGATGGATTTCTTTGACTAGTTCATGACGTTAGGCCACGGTAATCTGAATTCCTGGTTTTTGCACAAGTGGTTTTGTTTTCATTTTTTTTGTGGGACATCAGAGAACACAACTCATTCTTTTATGTCTGTAACCCTTTGAAAAGTTTGTGAGAAAGTTTCATTGGTATTTATGAAACACTTTGACATCTTACAAAAGCTCGTGTTAGACTTGCAGCAAGGCTTAAAAAGGCTGTATTGGCTGTATCACATCAGGCTTTTTTATACTGAATTTGCCATGCTTAGACAAACAGAAGTGTCTTCCAACAAGTAATTGTTGTTTTCTTTTTGAAAAATACTCGTGGTCTGGCAGGATAGATCAGGTTCTGAGATCAAAATGTTTTATTTTCAAAAGTTTGGAGTTGCAGCAGATCGAGATCCTGTTAAGCAGATATTAATTAGTACCAGAACTGTGCAGTGAACTGAATAAAAGATAAACTTCAAGGGCAAAATTTATCTCTTAGCATGAGCTGAAATTATAGTGCCTGTGTAGTGGTGGGCTCTTACATGTGTTTGTGATTGTTGTTTCTGAGGTGTGGGGGTGTGGATGTTTGTTCCGCTCCACAGGAATGGGAGATTAAACAAAACATTCAAAAGTGTTGAGATACTTTTTTTTAATTTGTTCAGATAATTTTGATTTCTGACTATTAACACAAGGACCCTCATTAAAAATAAACACGTTACAAGAAGTTAACTGGTTCTTTCTGGGAGTAGGTGAGTTTGTTGTGCTCTCTGTTAAGTGCCTTTAAAAAGTACAATAAGATTGGTTCATTTCATTGCTAGCACTACCTGTTAATTATGATTTTCTTAATGATTTCTTCATGGATTCATTGGATAGTGTCCTTTTTCTAAAGAAAATAGACAAATGTTGGCAAGATCACTGCAGACAAATGGTAAGTTTCTTATCTTTTTGAGGAAAACTGGTTGCCTTGCAGCCTGTGTTTTGCTTAACTCTGTTCCTTTTCAAACTTCTGAAATATCTTCTGCCTGCAGTGTGTGCACACACACACACACCCCCAGCTCCTCACTGTCACTTTTATGCAAACCTTTCTCTTTTATACCTATTTTTCAAGGAGCTGTTCTGTTATACAGAAACACGCTAAGTGTCACATTGATCATCTTGCTGGGATTGGCACACGATGTTAAATAAATAGCAGTGTCTAGGAAAGCACTTAGACACTTCCCATTGATGGGAATTTTGTTGTTGTTGAGCATAATTTGTGTTGCTCTTTAGTTTCAAGAGTAAAATGATTGTGGCTGTTTTATTCCTTCTCGTGACAGATTATGATTAGAAGTATCTTTTTGTTCTTGGATCGAACTTATGTACTTCAGAATTCCATGCTGCCATCTATTTGGTAAGGGCACAAAGAATAAAATTATTTGGGGGTACATTTAAACTTGCTTATATCTTGCTGATTTTCAGGTTGTTTCGTGGGTTTTTTATTTAAACCTTGTAAATTACATGATAAATGCATATGTCCTTGTTGCAAAGGGAGATGTTTAATTTATTTGACATGAATTACAGCAAATTTATTTGCCATGAATTACAGTTGTTCTAGAATAGTTGTGATGCCAAATCTCAGTGAAGTAGGTATCAGCCTCCAGTTGCACAGTTAAAGGAAGGGGTCTTGTCAACAACCAAAGTGCAAGGGCTTGGTGTGCCCAGTTACTGACTTTACATGTACAGTATTCCAAGTTCTGTAAGTATTTTTGAAGGAAAAAGTTACTTCAATTAAAAGCAAGTTACTCTCTTTTGGACTTCAACTTCTGCCCCCCCATGTTATTAATAATTAGTCTGTGCCCTACCGTGCCTTTGGCACCACCTGAATTCATTTGCCGGAGATTGGAGGTCCTGACTCTTCCTAAAAGTGTCCAGACCCATAGTTTCAAATTCATGGAAGGTTTTAACTGGGACACCCAAAGCAGAGATCCTTGTCTTTCACCTCACTGAGTTGTTCTAAGCCCTGCCTGAGAATTAGAGGTTGGCAAGTGATGGACAAAAGGAATGTTGTCCAAAAACTTAACCATGGAATTTGAACCCAGGGTGAAATTATGATTTTCTTGTGAAGGCTGCTGTTCCAACATCTTGTCAACCAGCTGAAAAATAAAGATGCTGTAAAAGCTATGTGGTTATTTAGGAAAAAATGTCTGCATTGGTCTTTAAAACCTGTAGCTTACTGTTCATGCTTTGTCATGGTTTATTGTAGTGTTCATGTATTTGTTCATCTGGAGTGATTGGGGGCAGAGAAATGAGCAGTGCTAGTATTGGCCTCTTTATTTGATCAAGTTTTAATAATAGAGACATCTGAGGTTTATTCTTATGCAATTTATTGAGCAGTCTTTGTTGTCTTTTTAGGGATATGGGGCTAGAATTGTTCAGAACTCATATAATCAGTGATCAGAAGGTTCAGAACAAAACTATTGATGGCATTCTTCTGCTGATTGAGAGGGAAAGAAATGGGGAGGCTATCGATAGGAGTTTACTGCGGAGCCTTCTGAGCATGCTTTCTGACTTGCAGGTGAGTAAACCTGCTTCACCTTTAAACCAATAAATAGCTCAAATCCTTATTTAGTGCTCAGTAAGCTTTACCCTGGGTTGCTGTTGTGTTGTTTTCCCAGATTTATCAGGACTCTTTCGAACATAGATTCTTGGAAGAGACAAACCGTCTGTATGCAGCAGAGGGACAGAGGCTCATGCAGGAACGAGAGGTATTTTGAATGTTTAACAGTATTTGTTGTGCCTAATGACAAAGCATGTGTCAGGGAGTGGAACTTTGCTGCTGCCTTAGCCAGTGTGCAAGGCCATAATGTGACCTTTGTTTTGTAGTACTCTGAAAAAAGAAATGCACATCCAGTTGCCTTCAGTCACAGTGCTAATGATTTCTGCTTAAAGCTGGAGCTGCTGCTGCTGTTACACCAGTACTGTCTCTCTTTTTCCCTTCTTGGTTGTTCTGGGGTTTTTTTAAACATACAAAACTACTCTGGCATTTCAGGTTCCAGAATATCTTCACCATGTCAACAAGCGCTTGGAAGAAGAAGCAGACAGAATAATCACTTATTTAGATCAGAGCACACAGTAAGTACTGTCTCTGCCTGGTGGTATTACCTGTTTGGCTCCTCTTCTGATGAGGCCATTTAAATAGCTACAGTTTATTTCAGTTATTGACTGTCTATCAAATGCTTTTCACTTTACAGTGAAGCACTGTCTTGGCTCACACAGCTAATAGCTTTTTGTTCTAAGTCACTGATTATTTTTACATAAATGTTGGGTATTTGGTTGGAGAAAAATAGGCTGCCACTTGCAGTCCAAGTGTCTCTTTCTTGCTGAAATGCAATTAATCAACTGGTGTCCTACCTGAAAAAATAGGACCCAGGATGGAGAATTCTCAAACTAAGGACTCTGAATATTTTCCTTAAAATATTTGTATATTCTTTATGGAGTCTGGGAAATTATCAAATAGTGTCACTCTTCAGTGTTTTCTACTTAGAGACAGGATTTCTTCACACACAGTCAGGTGGAGTCATGACTGGTAGGGCAGGAGAAATATTCTCCTACCATGAAGCCATAAAAAATGTAGGTCATTTATAAGATCTCTGAGAGGAAGGTGTTTTATCACTACCATCACACATTTTTATTTTCTTCCTCCTTCAGCTGTTAAAAACATTTAGCTTGTTTAGTGGCTTCTTTCTTCCACACCATTATTAGTGGCCAATTCCCTATTTTGTTTTAATACCTCTTGACTTGAGGTGTGGTTTTTTTATCTCCTTGGTTTATCTCCCAAGACATGAATCTCCTCCCATAAAACAGGAGTAGGTATATTATTTGACAGACTTCTGCCCAACTTCTTCCCTGATGGAATCATTGTCCAGCTGCCTGCAGATCATGTACAACAGACTTACTGTGTGAATTAAAATCATCAGTCAGCAAACAGAAAAAAGATTGCTTACTGGGGAGGGAAAAGGATAAATATGTATATAACCATTTTGGGTCCTTAGCCACATATAATTAGAGCACTCCTAATGAAAATGTAGTTAACATAATCTCAAAACAAAGTTTAAAAGTGTTAATAATGGGAAAAGGAAAAGTAATTATAATCATTTCTTTCTGTAGGAAGCCACTAATTGCTACTGTAGAAAAACAACTTCTAGGTGAACATTTAACAGCCATTCTTCAGAAAGGTAATCTTTCTTCTTTATAGAAATGTTTCTAATTACTGCTTTGGGCTTTCAATTCCTGTGCAGAAAGAGAAAGTGGCAGATTTAGGTGCTGGGGGAGGACACAAGTTCCATCACTCTATAACACCCTTTGCTCCTCAGTTCACAAAAGAGCACTGACCATTTTGCAAGAGGGCAAGTCCCATTCTCCCTGCTGGAGGTAAAGAGATGCTGTGCTGTCTTCTGATACACAGCAAAGAGAAAGGACAACTAGAACTAGAACAGGGGACTCGAGTTCAGTCTGTTAAATAGCATTTCAAAGACTTGGAGGTAAAGAAAAGCGTAGCCTTCAAGTTATGGCTGTAACAGAAAGAAATACTGAGTACTCCTAACAAAAAGCAGCTTGTTTTAGAAATGTAGCGTAATTTGAGCAGTGGAATACGTTGCCTCCGTTCTGCAATAGCCTCTGTGGAGTCAAGTGACCCTCTGTTGATCTGAGAATCAGGAAATAGAAATGGGTGCAGCAAGAGTTGAATAATAAAATGGCCAAGTCCTTAGTAGCTGGATTCTGGATGAAACAAGTATGTGAGCATCTTCCTGCACATCTGTTACAAACTCTTCACTGAGAGAAGTATCAAGTTTGCAATATTTACCCACCTACTTTCTTAGAACCTTACTGTGATGCATCAGGCCTTCTCCAGAAAGTTAAAATTTGAATGGTGAAGATACTCCTCAGAGCTGCTTGCCTTCAAACATTAACACTGATTTTACACCTGGAGTTGAGACTCAGAGCTGCCTTGCCAAGGAACTTTTCCTTCAGATCAGTACAGTGTAAACTTTTCAAACCTTTAGAGAATAGTAAAGCAGACATAAGCAAAGGTTTTGTGATAAGGATGTTATGTAAAGTACATGTAGCCCAAGATATCCACTGTAATAACAAATTTTTAAGGTTTGAGCTGGTTCAGGCAGCCATTCTGTGTTTTGCTGTTAAATTAGGTAGCTTAAAATACCCCCCTGCCCACCTCCAGTAATTGTTTGATAAAAAATATTAGTTTTGAAGAGGTCTCTCACTGTAACCATGCTTTCTTTGGGTTACACTGGTTTTAATTTCCCACTGAAACTCTTGCATTTGCAGGTTTAAACCACCTTCTTGATGAAAACCGAATTCAAGACCTGTCTCTTCTGTATCAGTTGTTCAGTCGTGTAAGAGGTGGAGTACAGGTTCTCTTGCAGCACTGGATTGAGTACATAAAGGTACTGATGCTAGAACTACTGTATCACTGGGGTTTATACACAGATACTTGAGTCATCTCTATAAACTATTGCATTTTTCGAAAAATTAAATACTTCTTGCTTATAAACATGTGTTTAATAGACAGCTTTTGAAACATCCTGGGAAAGGTACAGTAACTGTTCTGGTCCTGTCAAAGAAAATACGGAACATTGAGTTGAATTATTGAACTCCAGATAAGTTTGGTGTTTATAATCTTGCTTACAGTTAGTTTTGGGGGACAACTGTATTTCTCCAACAGTTATTTTGGTAACGGCAGAATGTTTGTCTTCTTCCTGATAACATTTCCTGTCAGAATGAGCAGTAGCTTAAGTTAAGAAGTTTAATCTTATTTCTCAGTGAAAAATGTCATAGAAAGTATGGTTGTTGTAAAGGAAGGCTTTGGAATGGCATAGGAGTACTGTTAAATAAAATTGAGTTTAATGGGAGCTTTATCTGTGTGAAACCTGAGGCTATAGATGATAAAAACAGATGTGTTAATTTTGTCATGCTTAACTTCATTTCTTTAGACAAAAGTTCTGAATTGGTTTTGAATCAATATAAAAAGATCTAGGAATGATTATGTAGTAAATACTTCATAATACTATTTTGTTGTGGAATTAATATGAGTACTAGAAACAATACAATAAGAAGGTAACTTTAGGCTTTTACAAGTCTTGTCATTTAAATTAATTATTCGGGCTAATTGAAAGTTATGTTTTATTTTGCAGGCATTTGGTAGCACTATAGTAATTAATCCAGAAAAAGACAAAACCATGGTCCAAGAACTTCTTGATTTTAAAGACAAAGTTGACCACATTATTGATGTTTGCTTTCTGAAGAATGAGAAGTTTGTAAATGCCATGAAAGAAGCCTTTGAAACATTCATTAACAAAAGACCAAATAAGCCAGCTGAACTCATAGGTATTTTCCTTCAGTCTCTTCCATGTGAGAATTTGGGTGTGGAGTTGCACATGGGATATGCTGGAATTGTGTGTCAATCCATGCACAGTGCATGTCAGACTGGGGCTTTCCTGTGCTGCCTGATGCAAAGGAATTGTTTGAGAGGGTAGCATTAAATATCAATAACTCTGTTTATCACTTCACTGGCTGGGCTGTAGAAAAGTCCAGGGCATCAGAATTTGGCCATTCCAGCCACTGGCTGGTGTCCAGGTGTGACAATACTGCTAATGTGATTTTTTCCAGCAGCTTACATGACTGTGCCAGCAGCACACGTGCACAGAGCTGGTCAGGGCTCTGCAGGGATCTGGGGCTTAACATGTGAAAGTGAAGAGAGCTGAGGGTGCCCTGAAGCTCTCACAGTGTGGGGACAGTCTCTAGTTTGCAAAGAACATTGTTTACAGATTTGTGCTCCATGCCTGGCACTCTGCACTTTTGAATTCCTTCATCTTCCCCACACAGTGAATAATACCTGCTCTGCAATTGGTTGTGCTGTTAGGTTTGTGGAGTGATGCTTTCTGTCCTCCTTTTTTTGTATTAATTCCCTAACTGTCATGTGCTTACCAGAACATTTGAAATTACTGGGTTTTTTAAATTTTTTTTTAATCTGCTAGAGGAATTCAGCAATGTAGTCAACACATTTAAATAACTGGTTTACATATTTTTCTTCTGATTCCTTTTATTATGTGCATGTCAATCTGTAGAAACAGTGACTTTTTGCTTTGAGATCACAATATAGACCAGGATTTTCCTACACAAGCACAAATGTTTTTAACGTTGTGTGTGCTAGTAAAGTTAAAATGCAGTAATTCCTTATCTGAAAAAATATTGGCCCATAATGTTTTTATAACTTTATAGCCTCTATGAAAAGGTATCAAGTTTGTTATGATGAAACTGATAGAAGGTGATTTCAGGATCATTTTTATTTTCAACATTTCACAATATTAGATTTATAAATTTTTGTTTTGTTATTATATTAAGCATATGCTAAACCCTTTATTCTTCAACACTTTTAGCTAAATATGTAGATTCAAAGCTTCGTGCAGGCAACAAAGAAGCTACTGATGAAGAACTTGAAAAAATGCTGGATAAAATTATGATCATATTTAGATTCATATATGGTAAGTATTGGGATTTTTTTCATGGGGATACTGTTGTTTAATCAGTAAGGTACTTGGAAATTATTTCTGCAGTCTGACTGCATTTTCAGGTGTTCTTTCTCTGTGGATGTGGTTTGTTGGTGTAGTGCTGTTTAAATACTTTGCCTGTTAAAATGTCAGTAACAAGACCTGACTTAAAACCTGTTGAAATTTTCCTGTGAAGGCCTTTTTCCTTTACTGAGCTTTGAATTGGGCCTCTTGAAGGTAATGTTTGTTAAAAAGCAACAGTGATTTGTGATCACTTCCAAATCTTGTCTCTTACAGGAAAAGATGTCTTTGAGGCCTTTTATAAAAAAGATCTAGCAAAGAGACTATTAGTTGGGAAGAGTGCATCAGTGGATGCTGAAAAATCTATGCTTTCCAAACTCAAACATGGTAAATATCTATCAGCTTGCTTTCTTTTAAAAGTAGTTATTTTAAGAGGCCTTCCAAGAGGTGCTGTTAGTGTTTCCCCTTTACATGAGGGCAAAAGCTTCCTGTGCAAGTCTTGAATGACTGGTGGGTTTGGAGGAGACTCATTTGCTTTTAGTTTTGTAATTATAACAGCCAAAAAACAGGAGCTTGAAGTGTATCTTGGCCTGTGGAATAGAGTTGAGGTTCCCTGCTGAGTAAATCAGTGAGGTGCTCAGGGAACTTATTTGTTATTCACTGTGTATAAGGTCTGGAACACGAAGCTGCCAGCTACTGGTCCTCTAGTCTGATCTTCACTGTTCCATTGGATGGAATCTTTGGGTGGTAAGAGTAAGAGTTTTAGAGCTTGATCTTGTTCTGCCATTAGGAGAGAGTTTGGCAGGCAGCTGATAGGGATTGGAATTGTCATCTGAATGACAGGCTGCCACCATAGTCCCAGGATGAACAGTCAGGTCCACGTGCAGAAAGGACTGGGTTAACAATAGCTGCCACATTAAAACATTTTCCCCTTTCTTGTTTATAACCTTAATGTGTACCTTAATTAGAATCCTGGCTTTTATGTAAGAGCATCTGCTGAAATAGGTCATCTTGCTTAAAAGTGCATTCTGACATTTAGAACAACTACTCTGTGACATTGAAAATAAACAAGGGTAATTTCTAAGATTTACATTTTCTCTTTTATAGAATGTGGAGCTGCTTTCACCAGCAAACTTGAAGGAATGTTTAAAGATATGGAGCTTTCAAAAGACATAATGATACAATTCAAACAGGTACTGGGGGAAAGTCTGGGCTGTCTGTGCTTTTGAAAATTTTACTGAATTTATTAAGGGTTTTCTTGAGCAATAGAGTAAAAAAAACCTGGAAACTGCCTTCTTCAGACAAATAAACCAAGTAGCACCTGCAGCAATAAAAGATTTGTAAACTTAAAAAACATTTTAACACCAGTTCTAAAACATTTTTAGCTCCACTATATTCTGATGCCTGATTTGGAAGTTTTTGCCCATTAGTTCTGGCAAGGTTTTGATTTCAAAGAAATTTTAACATTCTTTACTCCATTCACACACAATTAGGTAGATCTTCACATCAGTCTGCTAAAACACTACTTTTGCTGTTTTCTTCCTGTGTTGAAGTGCCTTTAGAACTTGAGAAAGTGCTTTTCTTAATTTTCTTGTATGTAACTTGCAGTTTATAGGTCTCTTTCTTCTCTGCTCTTGCAATGTCTGTTCTAACCTTTCAGTTCTACCTGAAATATGTTTAATAAACATGGTTTTATTTCCATGTATTTTATTTCTCTCTGCAGTATATGCAAAATCAGAATGTCCCTGGCAACATTGAACTAACAGTGAATATTCTGACTATGGGTTATTGGCCAACCTACGTGCCTATGGAGGTCCATCTGCCCCCAGAGGTAATGAACACAGACAGGTTTTACAAGTATCAGCCTCTCAGAAATGCATCTTGGAATCAACTGCAACTTGCTTTTAAATATGCCTAGAGAAAGAAATGCAGAACTGTCTCTTTGTAAAGGAAATTTGTTTTCTTGTAATTCCTGTCATCATTCAAAGCCTTGATTTAAGGCTTAAATTGATTGTGGAGGAGGGAAGGATGCTTTTAAAGTAGAAACTGTGTTTTAGTGTTTCGGGGTTTTTCTTTCTTTAGATGGTAAAACTGCAGGAGATTTTCAAGACCTTTTATTTAGGAAAACACAGTGGTAGGAAACTTCAGTGGCAGTCAACACTAGGACACTGTGTGCTAAAAGCAGAATTTAAAGAGGTGAGTCTGTTGTTTCTCTTACTCCTTTGCTTTGTCAATTCCAAGTCTGGGTTGTACCTTAGGGATATATCAGGAAGCTTTTTTGTGTTGTGATGGAAAACCTAGCATTGTTTTTGTGGTTACTTTTAACCTCTTGCTATCATTTTCAGTTGGTAGTTTTATGAAATAAAGTAGTAAGGTCTAAGAAGATGCACCCAGTTTCTGTATTGGTGGGGAAAAAAGCCCTGTTGGTTACTATTGGGGAAAATATTCAATGGGTTTAGCTCCAGATTAAAAATGGCACTAATTTTTATAGTGGGGAGAAAAAAAAGGGGCAGTTCCTTAGGTGGCCTTATGTCATCTGACAGCATCAAGCATCCTTTCTTTATTTCAGTAGTGACAAGCTTACTGTAAAGTTTTGGATTGTACAACAACACAACTGTTTTTAAAAGGGTTTCCAGTTATTCCCCTTCAGCATTTCTTCATGGACATGAAATCTTCTTATGAAATAGGAATGTTTACCAGTTCTATTTTTCAGAAAAATGTTAATGCTAAAACAAGTAATATCAAATTTGGTTGTTTCAAAGATTCTATAGTTCCTTATACTGTGTTTCTTAAACTAATGTTTGTGTTAGACTTTAAGATCTTTCAAATTGCAATTTTAAGCATTCAGTGCTTTGAGATTTGTCTTGAGTAGGCTGATGCATATCTTGGGTGAATTTTGTCACAGGATAGAATAGTCCAGCCTTGTGACCTGTAGCTTGTGCTGCGTTTCATAGTAAACACAAGGTGACAAGTAACTTCTATTCTTTCATATTCTCAAATAAATAATGTCCTTAAAGTGAAATAATTGACATGTAATAGTGACTTGTTCCTCATGCTCCCCTCATCCCCTCTCCTTCCCTTCTACCTTTCCCCCCCCCCCAAAAAAATAAACCAGCCTAGTGATGTCTGTTAATTTCCCTTGTGACAGGGCAAAAAAGAACTTCAGGTCTCCTTGTTCCAGACACTGGTGCTGCTCATGTTTAATGAAGGAGAGGAGTTCAGTTTAGAGGAGATAAAGCAAGCCACTGGAATAGGTTGGTATTGAAAACAGCCAACTGCTTCCAAGTGTTCTTACTGAAAAAAACCTAAACAACTTGTTTCTGCTTTAGAGGATGGAGAGCTGAGAAGGACACTTCAATCTCTGGCTTGTGGCAAAGCCAGAGTACTGACTAAAAGCCCCAAAGGCAAAGATGTGGAAGATGGTGATAAATTCACATGTAATGATGATTTCAGACATAAGCTCTTCAGGATAAAAATCAACCAAATTCAGATGAAAGAAACGGTATATTTTTTTTAATCCTCTGGGGTTTAGATCCTTGGGTTAAGAACCTTGTTGCCTGCCCATTTCCAAGCTTTTTTCCTCTCGCTTGTGATGTCTCTGTCAAAGTTACACGTGTAATTTGGATGACAGCACATACCTACCAGTGCTGATTTAAATGTGTGCTTCTATACTAAGACACCAGTGATGTCTCTAAATAAGATTGTTCGAGAGAAGTTCCAATTAGGGAATGTTCTTTTCATCCTTTATCATTCCCTGGAGCTTTACTGAATATTTTGTTGAACATAGAAACAAGTTCACAGTGAATTTTCCCTGACAGCTATCCAATGTAAAATCTGTGCAAAGATTTTAATTCCTTGTACAAGTGGTTTTTCTAATAGACAGACGGTCTTTATATTTGTAAAGGATTTGTGTCAGATATTTGACAACAGACATTTTATTGTCTTACACTGAGAACTGTCTTAAAGATACGAAGAAGAATTGTTTTGACAGTACTGGTGTTCTCATTAAAACTTTCCTAAATGGATCCTCCAGGTAGAGGAACAGGCAAGCACTACAGAGAGGGTGTTCCAGGACCGGCAGTACCAGATCGACGCCGCCATCGTTCGGATCATGAAGATGCGCAAGACACTGAGTCACAACCTGCTCGTGTCAGAGGTCTACAACCAGCTCAAATTCCCAGTCAAGGTGGGCTACTGATTTTTCTTCTAAAACTTTACCAGTTCTTTTTATATTCCCTGGGCTGCCCTCAGTTAAACAGTGCTTCTGTCTAAAACATGCATCTCTTTAGTATTAGAAAGGGCAAATATTCACTTTCAGGAATTTTTGAAGTGCCAGTTACTAATAAAATCTACTTCCAAAGGCTTTCAGTGCTGGAGTTTGTCAGCAGTAAGGGTGCAGCTGGCTGTCCTTGTTACCTGCATTTGCAGTGTTCTGGCAGGGCATTCTTGGGCACAAGGGGAAAATGCTTCAGATCTCAAAACCAATTCTGCATTACATTCTTAATTTGGTTGATACTTTTTAATAAATTAGTAACCAATAAATGTACAGTGGTTTTTCTAGACAGATTATACTATTTAATATCTAGGAATTAAAATAAAATCTTGGTGAATGTCTCAGAGCTGAAGAAGCCCACAGTTGCAATATATAATGACTAGCTTGTTGTGTACAAATGAAAATGGGTTTTCAGATAAACAGTGATGCATTGTTGGAGTTCAAATATATGATGGAAATGTAAAATAAAAGGTCGTGCCATCTCATTCTGTTTTATTACCATGGTGAGTTCCTGCAGGCCTGTAAGTATTGCATAAGCTGCAGTTGGGCTTTGTAGGAGTATAACAGCTGATCTGAATGATTTTCCTCACTCTTTATCATGAGGGATTTTTATAAAGTCCTTCACCCAACAAAATCAGAGGGCACCCAAACTGTTGCAAAACTCATTTGCATCAAGAGGAATTGAAACTTGTACCATCTTTTACCAGCTAAAAGTCAGAAATAGAAGCGCTTTGGTATGTGATGCATGAACTGCAGTTCTTTAGAGTTCAGTTCAAACAGCAGTAAATATCTTTCCCTGCTGTAAAAAAAAAAATCTATGTTTAACTGCAGGTGACAAGTTAATTTTGTAACTTTCTCTTCCATCAGTTATACATTGCAGACTTTAGAAGCTCTGATACTTTTAGAGGATTTATTTTTTTTTAAACTGTGATTTCTGTTTCCTCAGTCATCTTAAACAGTATAGACATTTGGTTTAAGTGGAAAGAAAGAACCAAAAGGCATTGACTGCAAAGTAATAATTCTGACATGTGCTTTATTTTGCAGCCTGCTGACCTTAAGAAGAGAATAGAATCCTTAATTGACAGGGACTACATGGAAAGAGATAAAGAAAACCCGAATCAGTACAACTATATTGCATAAACATATGTTGGCCTTTATTTTACTGCACACTTGGTGTCCTACACAGTTGCCAGTGGATAAACTAGCCTGTTGATCCCGTTAATTGACTTTTTATACTACCGATGATTGAATGAAAGCAGTGTAATGGAAAAGTATAGTAGAGTGGACTTCTTTCAGTGGTTAACATGCCCATTTAAAGAGTACTATTTACATTTTAAGAAGAATGCTGTTGAACTCTTTGCATGTTATTTAGTAAGATGTGCAGAAAGCTGAAAGAAAGTACCTGGTCTTTTGTGATTCCATTTGTCTCTGGGTCTGAAGAGGAGTCCCTTGATGTATGACAGATGTCTTTCACATCTTTAAATGGAAACAGAAGGTTAATTAATATAAGAAAATAGCCTTTAAAAATGCTTAAACTGCATGCAAACTTTTAATTTACTGTACAGAATGCATTTCAGTTATACATACCATTGGTTTGGTTGATGCCCACACTTGGATTTTTTTCCCTTGAGGGAGGGAAAATGGGGAATAAGCCAAGCTATGCTTATTGCTGATCTAATGGAAAATATTCTTGGTCACAATTAAGGCAAAATGTTACCAATATAAAACAATGTATAAAGTTTGCGGTGTGGGCATATATACTGTATATACAAATGCCATTCTTAAATAACTGCTACAACAAAACAAGTTCAGATTAGATTTATATGGCTTGCCTGTGAGACTTGGTGTTCACCTTTGGGAATTTTAAGCATAAAACAGCCATACTGGAAGAAGTGACAGGTTTTACTAGTCATGGGTAGGAGGCCTTCACCTCTTGGCAGCAATACTCTAGAAAAGAGAATCTATTTACAGATATCTATGAAAAGCCACACTGTTATTTGTGGTACAGCTGTAAGAACAAAAATTGCAAATGGATTTTAATACTTGTTTTGCTTTGCAACATTCTAAACTTGAATTAACCTCAAGGTTTAGACAGGGCAGCTCTTCTAGGACTGCCCTGCTTTGGATTGCTTTAACTTAAAGCTTTAAGAACTCAGCCCTAGAGCCTAGCAGGCCTCCTAGAACCCAGAAGCCTACCTCTCATATAGAAAGTTAAGTATTGCTACAAGGCATCTAAAATATATTTTCTTAGATGACCAGAGAGCATTCTTTGCATCTTTATAAGACATGGGAGAGTAAGTCACTTGAATGTAGAGCTTTGTTTCAACAAAATACATTTTTTTTTTATTGCTTATAGCAGCATGTGCCAGGAATATATGGGAAAAAAGTGTCAGCAGAAAAGGTAACTCCTCCACATAACAGTTCTTCCTTACCCAGCCAGGCTTTAGATCTACGATCAGCTGTGTTGCAGAGCACAATGAAAAACCTCATCCTCTTTCAGGCACTGATAGTCCTGGGGAATACCAGATATTTCCTGAAAGCCAGATGTTAGTTTTGTTTAATGGCAGTGTAACTTAGCTCTCTATGACCTACAACTTCTATCACTGTGATCCCACATTCAGGGTTGTGCATGTGTGTGAGTGTGTGTATGTGTGTGTGTTTTCTATCTGACACATCCCATCCTTATTGCTTTTTTTATCTGCTGTTTAATTCCATACTTTCTCCAGCTGTGTTTTCTCTCAAGCTCTTTTTTATGCAGTCCTCAGCTGACAGATGAAGCGAATGTGGGTTTTTTCTCCTACTAAATTATTTGCAGTCACCCTCAGCTAACTGTCGTACAGCTCTTCGTGATCTGCAGAAAATTTACCTTGCCCCTTGACACTATTGCAGCATAACCACTGGTAGACATCCAGGACCACCCCTGCCTCTGTGAGAAAAATACTGACAGTAGAGTTATGTGGTAAGAAACTTGAAGACTGCTCCTGCAAATCTTCAAGTATGAGTTCAAATAGAGATCCACTGGGGAGGAATGAATGCCCCCCACCATAAAAATATCCCTTCTGTATTTTGCATTCAATGTTCCTTTTTCTTGTATGTGTTTTGTATCTTCAGCCAATAAAAGATTCCTTTTAAAGAGAATTGGGGAAGAAGCATAAGACTTAACTCTTTGGGACACAGGAGATGATGCACATCAGTATGGAACTGGTTCCATTCAGTCTGTTGTAGCATATAAATCTAACACCACCACGTGTTTAAATACCCATTCTGGTTAAACCCTCCCTCATTACACAAGTGTTGCATTCAGTCAAACTGCAAAGGTCTGTAGGTTTAGTTCATTTTTATCCTGTCTATTTCTGTAACTTAAAAGCAGAAAATACCATATAGAAAATACCCTCAAATCTGATCAGAACTCCACGAGCCGAGGCAGACCCTAAACGCAATCGAGTTAAAGCAACCCAAAGAATGGACTTTGAGAACCCTGGCCAGGCCAGGAGAGGGGGTGAGCGAGGGGAGGGGAGAAGGCTTCTCCTTGTAGCTTCATGGGTTTTCCCCAAGAACTTGTTCATCTCTTCTGCTAAGGTCTCACTCATTCCTGGTTAATGACAAAGCTGCAGCCAAGATTTGTCGTCTAGCCGTACAACTCTGCAACTTCTTGCTGGGATCATGTGCCTGCCTATTGAGCCATATATATCTCTGTAAGAAACAACTACAGTGGGCTTGGACCACAACTCATCTGGCTAGAACACAGCTTGTCTGTTTGGCCACACATTTTTAATCCTGACTCTTGCATGCAGTTTATAGCACCTTGTTCATAAGAAATTGCAGTTTATTCTTAGAAATATATATTTTAGGTTTTTTAATCTTTATACCCATAAATGGACTATTTTTTTGTCTTGGCTGGTTTCAAAAGTGACCATTTTGTTTAAATGCTGTAATTGCAAATGTGTTGTAAACGTTGTTTTGTTCTATAGTTTACACAAAGGTGCCAAAGTAAATAGTTAATAAAAAAACAAACAAACCCTAGCAAATTGTTAAGTTGCTTTAGCTGTTCTTCATATTTTGGTCTCTGCTCTTTTTTTTTTTTTTTTGTCAGCCTTTCATTTTTTCCTAGACATATCATTTGCCCTAATGCTTTCTTTTAAAAGAAAAAAAAAGTGCATCTAAAAAAATGTTCAAATACCACTTTTTTTAGTGCTCTCATATAGTAGGGAGAATATTTTCTTTGAAACGTTACACTAATGTAAGAGTACAGCAGCATTCAAAAATGTAATATACTTTTTGTATAACAGTCTTCAGAGTGTGTCTGGAGTGGGGGGAAAAAAAACTAACCCTGTTACTTTTCAGAAGCCTCTTCCCTCAGCTACCAGAATATGAATTGTGCTTTTTCACTGCATCAAAAAGTTATAGTTTATGCAGACTTGCAAACAGGGCATGTATCACCGTTGCATCCTTTGATGCAAAAAGCAGCAAAACCTTTTTTATGTTTCATAAGTCTGATATGGGTACAGAGAGTCTTTCTTAAGTTGGTAAATAATGTAAATACATGTCCTTTCAGAGAGTGAGTCTGTTATCTAGGTATTTTGTGTCATTTAATAAATATTAAACAGTTTTGTGTTGATAAACTCTTGTGTGTAAAATGCCTTCTTACTCCCAAGTTCTGTATGTTGGGCTTACTAATGTTTATGGCTTCTTTAAATTCTTTAGCTTGTGCTTTGATAGCAAAATACTTGTTTGCTTCTTAAATAGTTCCTTATTCATTCAGTCATTAAAATCCCTTGAGTTTTTTAAGTGGCTTCCATTCCTGAATTTTTATTATTTTGGGTTTTTCACTAAGTCTTCTGTGGTTCTTGGAGAGGAAGGAAATAAGCATCCTCACCAACTCTGATTAGAGTTGGGATTAGAATGTGTAGCAGTGTCAGAAATGGTACAAAAATACCAAAAGTGGTGGCTTGTTGCTCTTAGAGGAGGCTCCTCTCCTGTATGGTTATTCCTTGTCTCCTGGTTACAGTTAATAATTTCTTTAATGGCTCTGATACGATTATGGAAGTATAAGGGACAGGGCTTCACAGGGAATTTGCTTCTGTTCCTGAGGGTGGCCAACTGGCCATTCCTTGAGTTTTCTTCAGCCATGTGGAACCACTGGACCAAATCTGAGCAGCAGGACCATCTCCAGCCTGGCCTTTCCCAGTGCAGGAGCTCTGAGAACTCAGTGGAGATGGGAGGCAGAGTGTTTTGAATTTTTTTTCTGGGTTTTGGAAACCTGGACAGCTGAAGCAAAGTGAATGCTGGTCCTGCAGCCTGATCTGTGGAAGGCTGGCCCGTGCTGCAGGGAGGTCACACAGCCCTGCTGTAATCACAAAACAGTCCTAGTGCAGGTGGGTTTGGGTAGGTCTGGGAAATGTCTGCCACTAATCCTGCTCAGGCACTTAGTCTATTACAACCTGGAGGGATCTAAATGCATGGGATGGTTTTTCCACTAACACTTTCTCCTTAAAGAGAGTATTTCCTACTTCCTCCCTGCTCCATGAAAAAAAAGAATCCTACAGAAGCAGATGACTATTTGGAGACTAATAGATTGTCTGTCTACTCTGAGGATAAGACCAGAGAGCAGTAAATTCTTTAATTTCTTTTCCTATATGAAATGCAATATATGCTACTATACTTTCTCCTGACTGAGAGAAACTAATGCCAAACCAAATGCAAGATGGTTGCTTTGGATTTGCCCTTTTTTCCCCCCTTAAAGAGGCCAGGGCCTGTGGACATACATTTCAGCAGGGAACACCTCAAAACTTACTCAAGTGCTTGAGAGACATTAGACTTCGTGCAGAGGGTATCTTGTAAAATATGGAGTTAGCTGGGAAGAGGAGCAATGGATGGTGATTAACCTACAGTAGAGCAGGTTTTTCTTCTGGTTAAGTAATTGCTTCCTGATACAAGGTCACTTTTAAAATGACTCACAGCTTGTCTTGCCACTGCTTATTAGGATATAAACAAAACAAGTAACTTTGAAAGTTAATTTTCTAAAAGCAGTAGGGCATTGCAGTACCATAGATAAACCCCTTGTCTTAAGCTTAGGAAAAGTAGTTCAAATCCAGCAAATACTAAATTTTCATTGATTACTACAGATTTACACAAGCCAGCCACAGTAACTGGATCTGACCCTGGGACCCCAGTGAGAATTCCAAGTCCAAATGAGTGTTTTCAATTAGTCTTGTTAGTTCTTTAGTTACAGCTCAAGCTGGTGCTTCCAGAGAGAGACCCTTACCCCAGTTCACACCTCTCAGTTACACCCATGTCACCCATCACCTGATCCCCAAGTCAATCACTAAATTCTGGCCCGTGGTCTCTTGATCTCTTACTGGATTTCACTGTCACTGGGCTGGCCGCCTTCTGAAGTTACTTTATTACCTTGGAATTGTCTCCTGGGTCCTTATCATCTTCATTCTGCTCCTATCTGCTGAATTCAGGGAGTTCTTTGTTAGCAGCATTGTTTTATCAGAAGTTTATGTTTGGTCAGCTCTTGTGGCCTGAGGCTTCTGCAGCCTCTTCATTAGCCAGTGCTAAATGAGACTGTTCAGAGAGAATATACTTAACCTAATTCCTCTATAACATTGATGATAGTTCTTTAGCTTACTCCTTAAAACAACCAGTTGTTTGTCAGCCTGAAAAGCCTTTTAGAGCTGGAGGAAAGCAGGGATGTCACTAGGTGCTTCTGTGTTAAAATGCCTGAGTCACTGTAGCTTGCTATGAAATTTTGTTGTTTCCAAAAAGTGTACAGATTCTGTTCCATCTAATGGTATTTGCAGTAGCAAGGAAGTTGCAGTAACTGCTTTTCCAGTAGATCCAACATTTAGATGCTTTATGCAATCAAGGTACGCAGAGAGTCAGGTGTCAGGCTGACAATAATGCCCAGGCCATTGCAGGGCTCAAGGGCTCCCGGGCTTCTTTGCAAAGCTTAGTCACTATGACTTTGCAGACAAGGGCAAGCATACAAGTAAACTGCATCTACAATGATATGGAATAGATTTCTTTTTACTATTTGGAGCAGTAAGTAGATTTAATGCAGGGTGAAATATCAGTGCTGAGTTATTTGCGAGATATGCATTTAATATGTAGGTTTTCTTCCTCCTTCTGGACCAAACCTCACACAAAATTATCACAATGCCTGTTCTGTTTTACCCTTATGTAGTCTCTGAAGCTTGAGATACATATGAGAACAATTTGTTACCATGGTCAAAAACAGATACCTTTGTCACTTTTGACAGTCCCCCAAGTACATCCACCAAGTCCTTCAGTTGGTGCCAGTTTGAGGCAAGGCTGCTTTACTCATTTTCACTAAAGGCTGGGCAAGACACTGTGCAGGCCAAGTTCTGCCACATGCTGGGGAGGAGGTACAGCTCCTTTTGGGCACGAGATGGGAACAAAGATTACAAAACAGAGCCTCTGCAGAGATGAGCTGAAACCTTGTGACCGCACAGGTAAAGCTGTAGGATGTGGTCAGGGACTAGGTCAGGCTCACTCCTCCAGAGAAATGGTTCTGCAACCACAGAGCTGCGATTCTGTCACTTGCAGAACTGGCACCTTCTGCATATCCCTTCAGTTTCTTTTGATTCCTACAGCAGCAGCTGCTGCTTCAAATTCTAGCTCCAAAAGCACAGCAGACACACAACCTCAAACTGCAGAGAGATCATTCTCCAAAAGGGCTCAGGACAATGCAGTCCAAACAGGCATTAGCTCAGGGTTTGCCAGACCTGGTTTCCAACCTCTGTCAGAGCTGGGAACTATAGACTAATTACAGATATCGTTACGCTCTCTGTAAAAGGGATGTAATGTTATTCTGGGTCACAAGGGATCCTGTAGCCCTGAAATCCTGCCGTTAAAATATCCAGATATGAAAATGACTGTGTACTACATAATCTCCCTCCCAACCCTGTGTTTTTGATATAACTTCCTTTCCTGCAGAAATCTCTCCGAAAATGTTACAGCCAACACATGTTTCATAAGAGCTGGAAGTGGGAGGTGCCTCCTGTGCAGAGCCATTTTCACACAATAATTTCTGCTCTGAAGCTGACAGATGTATCTCCAGCAAGTTCTCAATGTGTGTCGATAAAACCACAAAAGCGAAGAGTATTGACACTTTTCTACTTCGCTGTAACGAGCCCAGAGAACATGTTGAGCTGTCGGTCAAACAAGTTCTTTTTTCACGTTAAACAGATCTGCATGTAGAAGCAGTTTGTCGTGACTCACAGAACGCATAAATCTCATCTGCTGCCACATGTTAACCCAGCTGCCGAGCGCTCCAGCACGTGTCACATCCAGCAGCAGCTGGAAATGCCTCTGAGCACAACAGGGCAGCCCAACAGCAGGGGCACGCCTCGCCCCGCATCCCACAGCAGCGGGACAGCACAGGAGCAGCTGCTGCCCCAGCACCGTGTCCAAGCCCAGCTCCTGCCCCGCTTTCCCCCCCGCCAGAGCACCAGCACATGACTAAACCAAGCCGCGTGTGTGTGAGCCGTGTTTGTTTAACAGGCTGTGACAAAACGCCGCCTGTGCCTCTGCTCCGGCCTGCTACGCCGGGAATGTGTTTTTCCAGCTGTGTCACAACACCAGATTTCACAGGGCTTTAGCAGGAAGTTTTGCAGCCCTCTGCTGCAACCTGCTCTCTGATCTCTTCACCGCCCCACCAAGCGTTCTTTTTTTGGCATTTCACGTGATTTCCCCGGTCTTGACTCAGCAGTTTCCTGCAGCAGCATTTATTGGTTTGGTTTCCTACCACCACCTCCTCCAGAAACCCGGCGGCTCAGAAACGCTGCCATCTGCTCAGAGCTTTCTCACAGCTTAGATAAGGAGCGTTTTTTCAGAGCAAGCAGCACAGAGCTCTCGGAGCCCTCCCTGTCCTGTCCCTGGGCAGGCTCACACACACAGCCGAAGCACTGGGCTGAACAAAGTATGGTCTTCATTATGGTGACCAGATCCCAAATCCCTGGTCCCCAGGCTACAGACTGGGGCTGCATGAGAAGGAAAAAACAGCTGTAACTCTCAGTTGTTGGCACAGTCCCAAGAAGGCCCCTGCGGTTCATTCCCCTCTGCCAAGTGAATATGTGACCTCGCTGGCCAGCATTAATATATTCCTCTTTCCATCCCTTCCACATGAAATGGTACCAAATCCTTCCTCTGCCTCCTGGAAAGGAATAATTGGTTCTGACACAATCTTGTCCCTGGAAAAAAATACAGGAATTGCCCTTCGGTTAAGAGATATCTAAAAGAATGAATAAAAATACATTAAAGTCGTGATTACTGCATGTCCTAGGCATTATCTCTTCCTTCTTTTTATCACAATCTCTACTCTTCTGCACCAGGAATCAGAAACATTAAGTTACTCAGTGATTCATTAAACAGTGGCACTTCTGGCCACACATGTTCTCCAATTTTTGCAAGTCCCTGGGTTAAGAAAAGTTTGATTACAGATATAATACCTAACCAGCTGAAACTGATAAAGGATTCACAGAGGATTAAGCATATGATGTGAACGAAAGTTATTGAACAGCCTCTACATTTGAAATTAGGCATAAATCCATATTCCTTGATGAACTAAAGCTTTAAAAAGAAATCATAAGGTTTTGCATACTTGTTCTCAGTACATATCAATACCTTCTTAAAATGACTGACATCAGACTTGGTGCAACATGGTAAAACTAATGCCCTACAGAAACATTACAGTCCTTATTCTCCCATCCAGCAATAAACATAAGGAATGTCTTAGAAAACCAGGATCAGCTTGCCAT